AATTACATAATTTGACTTCATTTTCACACCATTGTTTTAATGGATCACCAGAACAATTTAATATCGAATCTTTGAACAGTAGATTTTCATTTGGAATAACATTATTAGTTTTAGTTTTAAAAAAAGAATATAAGAGACCATATTTTATGTTAATAAATAAAGAAAAACAAAGAATAATGGAAATTATATGAAATAAATAGTGTCGACGACGACGAATCGGGAACTTTGAATAACATTTGCTGAACATTGAAACTGAAACATTTGATTAAAAAAGAAAAAAAAAGAAAAGTTTGACAATTTTTATAGATATTTTTATCTTGTTCTATAAAGTTCACATATATCTTATCAGAAGAAAAGAGAAAAGTGCAAGGTTTGCTTTGAAAGATATGATGGTGGACATTGTAAGTTATTTTTTTCGCAGGAAAGAGATAAAATATGAATATTTCAAGATTTACCTTTTAACAGCTGTTGAATAAAATGTTTTATAGCATGCTTAATGGACAAATAAATGAATTTTTGATTACACTGTTCTAATTAAACTACTTCAAAAGATATAGGGATATAAAATGTGTACAGAATGAAACAATAGATCTTTGTCGGATACAAAAAAAAGCTATTTTGTGCCTGTTCATAATGATGAACATGTATCGTGTCCAACATGTTTATATATCTCTTTAAATATATAAAATGATATTTTGTTTATTCTCGTAAAAGCAAAACATTCTAAATTTATATAATGTTCTTCGAATTCTTTTATATTTAATACATACAATTAATGAACTATTAAATTATTATCTGATAGTAATCATGATGTTCGTATGCCGTTGATCTGACTCGTATGACTATCAAATTTCACAAAAGATAATTACAGATAAAACATAACGATTGATTCTATTTAAAATTATGCTTGTAGGAATCATATTTTATTCTTTGAAAATATTGTAAAAATAGATAAGTCTTAAACGATTTATTGAATGAATTTTCAAAAATATAGTGATTTAGGATTATGACAAAAAATTATGAAAAGACTTACATTAGTATGTTCTACATGACAACTTACAGTTTATGTCTGTTACCTATGTGTGAAATGCAAATTAGAGTTTAGTAGTTCGATTTCTTCAATGCTCTGATGTCTTGCTTTTATTCTGTTCTGTACATAATATAATTGATATAATAAGTTTGATTCTTTTAGTTCTTTTCAAATATACCTTATGATTCCTTCGATATTTAATATTGGTAATACGAAATAAGTATGGTTAAGAATTCGTGTTGTTTATAATTAATAACGGACTGCGCATGTTTTTTTAAAAGCTTACATTTATAATCCATTCGTTATTCAATTTAACTCAAAAATAATAACAGATGATGCACTTTCTCATAGATATGAACATTCATATGATTAGAATTGTTCAACATTGAAGAGTTTCGTATGTACATACATACTATTTAAAGTGATCAATGGCCTGCTGTTTGTAGTTAAAGTATTAGAAAACATCAGTTTTATCATGAACATATAAGGATCACTAGGTTCCAATAAACTTACAGCACAGTTATGATTAAAACTATATGCCATACAAAATAAATCATTACATAGCCATTTAGGAATGTAAAATATTATTATTAAAGTAACTGCTATTCATCTACAATATAGAAATATATAATCATATCGTTAATAACCAGAAAATAAATCAGTTGTTTTTTATTTTTCTAGAGTGCGAGTAGTATATTAGAGAGTGTATAACAGGTGTTAAAAGAACGTCGAATACCGTAAATAGAGAACGAAAGAATGTATCATATTATGTATATTAACTAACTGAAAAAAAACTCATGATGAATTAGAAAATTTCATTTAATAGACTTCAAAAAATAAAATGGTTCGAGTAAATTTTAACAATAACAGATCAAATTTTATTTTTCTTTGATGTTACGACAGAATTCTCAAAGAACTTTAATTATCTTAAACTTACTAGATTTAATTTACTTTCAAACATGTCACTGGTAATAAGTAAATTTACTTGGCATGCCATTTATATTATAATTAATCTGATTATTTTTTACCTTTATTATTACAAAGCATGATCTACTAACCAATTATAATTTATAAATAAATCTTAAACTAGCGAAAAAAAAATACTTAATTCGAAAAATTTCATAGATTTATCCTCATTCAAACACTGTATCTTTCAAGATCAAATTACTTTAAAAGACAATAAACCATCAGATTAGTATCCTTGAATTACTATATTTACTTCTCAAACAACATTGTACGAACCAACTGAAGACATTTTTTATTAACTAAAATCACGTGGTTATTTTATATCTAATAATAATAATAAAAATGGTCTCTTACATAAATTCCACATTGTTAAATAAGAAAAAAAGAAAAAGAAAAGAACACGTTCCATTTCTCCTGTTCCGTTTATATGTAATTCAATCATTAGTAATTTTTTTCTAATATTTCTCATGAGCAATTCTCAATCCTTCTCTATCCTTATTATTTTGTCGTTTGTATATATACATGAAAAGAAAACAAAAGAAGCTGAAAACTCATTATAGTTTATAATTATGTTCTAGTCCATAAACTCATACATACTCTCATAATGGCTTTGCTTGTGAGCAGTCAGAGCAAGACAAAATGTCAGAAGTCTTCCAATCCAGAAGAAGAAAAGACTTTTTTTCCTTTATATATATATATGAGAATAATTATGTATACAGAACCATCTAAAGAACATATGACAAATGATACCCTTTATTGCTCGCTTGACAGAAATAATAATCAATATATTATCAGTGAGAATTTCCTTCTCTAAAAAGATTTAGATAAATTACGAGATCATATTCATATACATATTGCTTCATGGATATATATAACAGTTCAACAGCTGAGTAAATATAGATCGTACATTTTCTTTATGTATAATAGTTTTGGAATTATGCTGGCGGGTATAAGATAATTCAATTAATTCTTCTATTTAATTTTGTATTTATAAAATGTTTTCATCAAATACTCAAGATGATCATAATGTGTCCGATTTGAGTTCAGCAATAACAAACATCAATACAAAATCTCAAAAAATTAATATTCATTCGAATCAATTGATAAACGATGAAAATGAAATAAATAATTCATCATCAATATTTGATACTTCATTTCCATATATGAATGAAAAATCTAATCTATTATTAAAATTAGATGATTTATGTATAAAACAAATAAAATTAGAAGAAATAATAAATGATATTCAAAAAAATATAATTACTCATGATTTAATAGATAATTATAAAAAACAAATTGAACACTATGAAATAATTTTACCATACATGAATAATTTAGAAGAATTCAAAGATAAATGGACATTTTTTCGTTTATTTATTTGGCGTTTTTGTTTAGATATATATAATTGGAAATCACTTGCTCATTCGATATATCATATTGACTATTTAGTCAATAATCTAGATAATTATCAAATCAAAGAATTTATACAAAAAAACTTCAAAATTTTATTAAATTCTTTTATTTTATTTATTAAAGATATAATTACTATACAAATTAAATCAGAAAAAGGACCGTTAAAAGATCAGACAACGAAACAAAATGAATCATCAAGAATCAAGTATGATATTAAATTACGATATTTACAGAAATGATATTAATATTGTAGAAATTATGCATTGAATAAAAAAAAATATTTTTTTGCTGATTAGTACAAAAATATTCGTAATTAGTTGAAGCATAGATCAACTACGCTCCAATAATTCATCTGTTCATTATAAAAAAAAACAAAGTCAAGCGTATTCATATCAAAGTTCACGACCATATATTACTTTTGAACTTGATGACATTCGTAAATATCAACGACAAGCATTATTAAAGTCACCATATGGTGCCATTCCACTTTATAGAAGACAAGCATGGGTAGTATTATTTCAGTTAAATATAAAAAGAAAAAGATCAATTTTTTTTTTTTTATTTTCAAAAGGCAGCAGCTAATCTATCGCATGATCATTCGTTACATCTATTACGTCATATGCAAAATTCACTTCGGATAAAAGTAAAAATTAGAATGTTTTTTTTTATGAAACACAATCTAAAAGGAGTGTTACAGCTTAGGGGTAAAAATTTGGATTCCCCTGAGATGCTTGTATGTGCGGCAAGTTCAATGCCACATAACAAGTGTGAATAGAATTAATAAATACTCTCTAGATAATTTGTATTATAAAGAGAGAAGCAAATAAATATCATGTAAAGATGTGTGCTTTATAATGATAACGCTCAAAACAAAATATAAGGTCACAACTCATAGACTCACAAGCACATCATCACAATTCACTATTCTATATTTCTCTCTAGTGTTAATTAAATAAAACAAATACATCAGAATAATGAGTACGAATAATGATAAAACAAGAAAGAGAAAATATATTAGGAAAGACAAAAATTCGATATAAGAAGATAGCAATATAGGTGGCGATACACCCTATCGTCATTCTCTCTTCTCCCCTTTCCCCACAGAGTATGATAAACGCTAGCCAAAGACTATCAAAGTCGTGAACTAGACTCTATCACAGGCCATAACAGCTGTTGTTGATTTACAATGAAAGAACATATATCAATAATACCACCTTATACTATATGAACTACTTTCCTATTGCATTTGTGGAGAACCAAGTAAAAAAGATCGAGACGAAAAATGCTCCAAAACAGATAGAACAAAGCAATTTTCTTGTAATTAGCAACGGTAGTTAAATAGTATTTGGCATATAAATCTTGCAGGAAGTGCACCAACAGCTTTTTAAATTAAAATTCTTATTTAATTTTTACTCTTTAGATACATCATTTATTTGGTTATGATCCATCTCATATTTGTAATAGAGATAAGAAAAAGAAAATTAAGAAGAATTCAGTTATGGAAATATTTAATACAAGTCAAGATATATTAATTGTTGGTAATAACAATAAACTATATCGAGGTCGTATTAATTCATGTCAAATAATTCCATTAAAAACTACAAAAGAAAAAAAATCAAAAATAAAAACAAATGTTGATGAAAATAATGAAATACTGAAAATTAATTTCGATCAACTTGATCAAACAAATAAGACAATAGCTGATGAACATTTATTTGACTATTTAGATTGGGAAACACAATTTAATGAACAAGTAATTAGCAAAAGGCAACAAAAAAACAAATTTTGTTTTTTTTTTTATAAAATTCATTTTCCTTAGGATTTACCAGATGAACTTTGTGAAGAATTGTTTCATCATTGGAAATCGATTATATTTGAAGATCAACCATGTTTTTGTAATTCTAAATCAAAATCAATTCTATCTCAAGAAAAAGATAATCAAGAATATAGTTTAATTAATACTCAAATTCATTCATCAACGTCTTCATTAAAAGATATTTATGATGATCGATGTATTTGTAGTGATTGCTCATGTAATTGTGAAAAATATGGACATCACGAATCTAAATGTATTTGTTCACAATGTTCATGTACATGTTTAAAAGACTTTCAAAGTGAAAATCAAGATTATATGGAAGATTTATTTGAAATTTGTGAACAAAAGAGTCCATTTTTACCAACAGATAATAATTCACAAGATCATTTAACTAACGAAATAAATATGCAACAAGAATTTCAATTAATTCCGAATGATCAAGCATCAAATGTAGAAAGAATTCAAGAAAATGATGAAGAAGATGAAATAATAATATCTGATTGTTTTCTTAATCGAATTGATCAATGGACACAACAATTCGATCTATTTCAAGGTATAGAAAAAGAAAAAATTTTTTTTACCTTTAAAAACACTTCAATATGAATTCTTTTTAGATACATACCGATCATGTTTACTACCTGAAGAAAATAATCGTTCGACATTGAACGATAGTTCTCAGCCTAAAATATCAACTCCAATTGCTTTTCGATTTAATATGATTTCTAACCCACTTGAATTAGATGATCCTACACTTTTTCGACAACGAATCCTCGATCATCATCGACAACGCAAGTAACCTACATGTAAACAATATGATCAATTTTTTTTGTTTAAAAATTTTAATTAAATATTCTTTTGGTTTCCTATTCCAGTCATATATTGAATTTTTCTTAATAAACTACAAGTCATTTGTTTGAATTCCATAATCAAAAGGGAAGAAATAAGAAATAAGAACAATGAGAAACAAGCAACCATTATTACACATAATTTCAGCATGCAAATCATTACTTTTGCCGTTGCACTACACAAGTGTGTCGTATTGTGATTACAGTATGGTAATTGATTGCTACTTTCACATGCACTTAGCAAAAAAATACTTTTTTTGTGAACGAGACAGAGCGAACACTGAAATTGACAGACATACATAGTTTTTTTTTGTCGTGCTGTTGTTGTTGTTACTGTTGCTGTTGTTATTGTTAATTTTTTTCTCTCCCGTTGGGTGTCTCCATTTTTTTAAAAAAAAACAGAATCGTTATTATTATTGCCACTGTTAACAGTTCGATCAGTCAAGCGTTGTGCCACTGATTTAGATATAGAAGAAAAAACAAATTCAAATTGATATATTTTTTTCAAAGATGACTCAAGTCGTATGCTTCTCATCGAATACAAAATCGAAGTGAGAAAATCTAAATTAATTTTTAATTTATTAATAAAAGAAAATTTTTTTTTCCAGGTTCGGCAGTGATCCATTAAAAAGTGATTGGAATGATTTTCAACATCTTGCAACACAAAGTCGTTATCTCACACCAAAAACATTTACTGGGTAAATATTTTAAATTTAGCAATAATACGTATACTTTTTTTATCTTCTTCTAAATAGATTTCAAGCTCATCAATCTAAATTAGCAGCAATTAAAAAACAATTATATAATCCAAGATTACCATCTATTCGACATATGGAACGTGATGATGTCTTATGTCGTTTAGCAGACGAACATTGTCGTCATACAACTTTATTAACTGAAGGTTTGGACTTTATACAAACAAATTAATTCTTGCTTTTTTTATTTTGTCCTTTTAATTTAGAACAATTTGAAAATTTTGATCCAACTAAAGATGATGCATTCATTGAATTATTTGGATTAGTAAGCAATAGAAATCGATTAGAATTTTCTTCACTGTTTTTTTCTTTAATAAATTTTAGAATTGGCACGATGCAGGTAAAACTTTGATGAATACAGATGATTCGGCACCAGTACAACGAGAACCATCGCCTGTATTTGGTGCTAGGTTTGTATGAACTACTTTACAAATTCAAATATAATATTTCTATGAAGATTACGACCAGACAAGTCGCAAATGGATGCACATCCAACTCAAAGTAAACTTTATCGAAGCCCATCATTATCCTGTTTATCATCTTCGGCAACATTAACAAAACCAGTTAAATATAGTTATCGTAACTATGGAAGTGGGACGTTTGATCAAACTGCTAAACATACAATGTGGCCAAGAGTATAATTCGTATTTATAATAAATATATATGATTATTTTTTTCTTTTTTTAGTTTCATATGAATACAAAAAATTCGTTTGATTCAATTAATCGAATGCCTCTGCCCAGTCAAATGCAGGTAAAACATTACAAAATAGTTTTGTATTTTTATTAATAATGCTTGTTAATTTAGAATATTTTCCGTTCAGCAAGTATGAATGCTGGTGTTTCAGCTGCTCCTTGGAAATCAGCAGGTCCTATTGGTAACAGTGGTTCAAAGATAACTCCAGTTTAAACAAAAAAATAATTTAGAACAGTCTTTCAATTTAATTTTAGTGCTTCATGTTTTGAGAAAAAAAATAAAAGACTTGAATATGATTAATGATAGTTTGTTTTGATTAGGAATGAATAGAACAAGAATTTTTTTGTTCTAATACGAATATAAGAGCTGTGCTCGACCTATATGATTTGACATCAATAAATTGAGAATAAAGATCTGAAATTCAATGCGCAAAGAACAAGCAATCGGTTACTTATTTGTTTTTCAATTGATTAATAGGTCAATTGAATATGACATTCATCTTTTGAACGATTTGGCTCTTATAATTCATTTTAACATCATAATATGGATTATTTTGAGAAAATTTGATTGCATATATTTGCACCTAGTTAGAAAAAAAAACTTTTTAATACTAATGGAAAAATAAACATGTCTTCGTAAAATTCAATGTTGTTTTTTATTTGCAATCATTTTATATTTTTTGTTCTCAATATTTAATTCATTATTACTTCATTTAATCTGAAAAGACATGAAGTCGCTTATTTTGATATAATGAAAGAAAATTTGCCATGGAGAACACAAATACAACAACAAATATTATTCATTATTCATTTATAGAAGAAAGAGAAAAGGGGCTGCATCCACATTGTGGACACTTGCTTTGCCCCATTAAGAAAAACGTCTACAAAAAAAAAAATCAGCCGCACAAAGACAAGATTTATTGTGTGCAAAAAAAACATTTATGAAAACATAGAAGAGTATCTAATACTTGTTAGATCCAAGATGGGTCTCACAAGAAGATTCACACAACTATATCTTAATATTCACTCTTAAATCAAGTTACGTACACTAATCCTCTTACTACATCTATTTTCACATGTTTCCATACTCCAGCCATTTTCTCTACCTTCCTCAATTCCGGATTGCAGACATTTTTTAGATTAGTGGCTATTTGACCTCTTGTTGTCCTTCTCCGATTCTACTTTGAGAATTTTTTTCTTTCAATTAAGACATAATACCCACAATCAAGAAGGCACTCAAGGTGTGCACATTATATCAACGCATCCACTTTAGTATTTATGTAATCTTTTGCCTATTGACACAAATAGAGCTTCTTTTATTAATAGTGATCAACACGACGGAAAAAAGTATGTCATACGTTTTGATAATAGATTCGTAATAGTAATTATATAGGAGCAGTTTGAATAATATGATGTAATTACATATTATTAATATTGTTTTACCATTTCAAAGGAAAACATCTAATATATTTTATTAAGATACTTGGAAGAAATATCTTCTAGGCGTTATGTCAGCTTTATTAATTAGACGCCCTTCTTCGCTGAGTCCTATATTGAGATTCAACTGTAACAATAGCTCCATGCAGCATTTTGAATAATGCTAGAAATTTTTTCAAGCTGCGTTAGCGTATTTCAACTTTTTTATTTAACATGTACTTTTTCATCACAAAGATCACAATCATGTAAGAATCAGGTAGAAAAGACGGACACAACTAGATACAATATATTCAATATAGATGAAGAAAAGAAAATCACATAACAACATTGAACACAGCATTCAACAATACAGTACTAGTATATACTTATAAAAATTGAACAACATCAAACATCTAAGCTTTTAGAATGGAGTTCATGTTATTCAATGGTCGAAGACTAATTGCATTTTCTGTTGTAAAATGAGCTGGGGTGACCCGATTTTTTCCGATAAATTTAAAAACTTGTCGTTTTAATATTTTTCTTATTTCACTTGACATAAACACATAAATGTAGAATGTAAATACGTAATTAAAATGATAAAAAATAAGAATGACTTGACCAGCAAAATTTTCGACTGCAATACGAAAAGCATCTTTTTCAACGTAACTGGTTATGTCAAGGTAGACGCCTTGAAAACCGAATGGTATTCCGGATATAGCAAGAATCGTAAGTTGAGGAAGAAGCATTGAACGAACTTGTTTTGAAAGACTCTCTTGAGTATTGCGAATAATATTCGAACGAAGATTTTTTATAGTACCTCTTGTACAAAAGGTAACCACTGCAATAGGACCTATACAATAGACCAATGGTGTGAACACATATGTATTGAATGTTGTGTATGGACTAGGAATGAAAGCGCAGACACCATGTCGGATTCCAGTGAAAAATAAGACTGGTATATAGATGAGAATCCAAAAGAGCATATTACAGACGACCACTAAACGAGCAACACGCAAAGAACTCCAACGATTTCGAAAAGCGACTTTTCGAGAAGTAGTAGCATATTGATCGAAAGACGCCCAGCATGGAAACGAAATCGCAGCTACGGTTGTTACATAACGTAAATAGGTATGTTCACGACAAGCGGCAACATTTGTATTCATTAATGAGGTATTGAAGCCATAAACAAGGATCATTTGAATATAAATTGTTGGCAAATGAATCCCTGTTACAATTGCACCTGCTAATAAGTAAGTTATCGTTGTATTCCGCCGAAATGCACGTTGTCGAGTAAAGACTATAACAGTTAGAAGTGATCCTAGTATACCTAGGATCAGAAAAGGTATAGCAAATACATAATTAAGAAGACGAGTTAGTAGATTGAATGTTTCTGCGTTCAACATCTCTGTGTAGAATATACGTTTTACTTTCCTTTTATGTAGTGAAGAAGTAACTAGTTTCTTCTCTCAGTTTAATATCTATTTATTAAGATTCTCGAAACTTCTTTTTTTTTCTCATTATTGTTTTGGCGTTCCTCTATTAGTGCACCTCCAAGAGATAAAGGATATGAGATGATCATTAGATACCAACGCTTCGTTTCACTCCCTTTGGCATGTTCATGTAAGTCAGTTTTTGAAAAATAATTAGAAATAATGGACATTATTTGAGTATTATAAGGCATAAAAATAGACTTAATTGAATAATAATACAACCTATTTCATCAATTTTCATGCAATATTTGTTCAATAGTTTCCTTAACATACTATCCATGTAGCAGGTAATGTAGAATAATGTAATTATAATACAAACTATTTCATGCATTTTAATATATTAGCTTTCAAATGGTGGCAAAAATTCATATTAATCTATTGTTTTTAATGAATCATGTGGAATTTTACCATTATTTTTTACAATCAATTATAATACATGAACATTTGAGATAAAATGCACTGAAGTTGTGGAGGTTTACAATTAATATTGTTGCAATTTATTTTCAAATTTTCCTGCATTATAATGAATTGTAAAAAAATAATGGTAAAACTCTAAAGGATTCATTAAAAACAGTGGATTAATACGAATTTCTACCATTATTTGGAAGATAATACATTAAAATATGTGAGATAGGTTGCATTATAATTACATTGCGTTCATGAGTTATGAAAAAATAATGTAAAATAATGTCCATTATTTTGCATTATTAGCTACATGGATACAATCCATGAGTTTTTCAATGCATTATTGGTCATTGAATAGTTATGCGATTGCAACACATTTAAATGAATCAGTTTTTTGTTATAAAATAAATCAATTGAGGATCATGAAAAGGGCAAAAAGTTTTCATGCATTTTATTTCATTTATTTTGTATCAAAAATAATGCATTGAAAACTTCATTAAACTATAGGACATTAGCATATAATATAACAAACAAAACATGAAAACTGATGAAATAGGCTACATGATCATTTAATAACACCATGATTAATGGATTATAATATATTATAATGTGCATTATTTTTAGTTATCTGTTACATGAGCAGCCCTGAGGAAATATAGATCATGTACTGGATTTGAGGAGATGACACTCTTTCATTTAGTCAACTCTTTTAAGAAATACTAGGTGTGACATGACCTAAATGATTAAATAACAATAACTTCTTGTCTTTATTAAAAGTTTTAATAGAAAATAAGTGAATTATACAGATGTAACCAATATCAACTTTTTATATCATAATTAAATACTAAAAGTATAAAATAAAAAAAGAGTATTTCGACATATATTAATTGAGCTTGTCAACAACTGAATCGCCATTTTCAAGGGTTTTATAAAAAATAAAACACGAAAAAAATATTTCAAATATTGATAAGAGAGATCATGAAAGATATTAAGAAGAAACATAGAATTAGAAGATATACATAGACTAAGAGTGAAAAGTGGGCGACAGGAGACACACAGAGGAAACAAAAGAGAAGGAAAGACGAAGAATGGAAGAATATAAAAAAAGTAGTATAATATTAACAACTTTTCTTTATAGTGAAGTAATAAGTACTTGAGCAAACCATCGGGGACAAAGTGCAAGTCGCCTAAATGCATTGTCTGATTCAGTGTTGACTAATGAAATTTTATTATACTGAACATGATGTAAGCATCACTAATCACTCCATCGAAAGGATAATGGAAGCACATTAATAATTAAAATGTCAGCCTATTGAATGATTAATTTTGTTCTATTTCTGTTCGGATTGATGCACTTTCTGTATTTATTAAGATTTTACGTATAGCAGATAGCGTGATCTTCGTCATCTTTTCGTACATTCAACTTGAACAGCAAATAAGTTGTAACAAGAAGACGAAACGGATAGAAAGATCGGATCAAAGAATATTTTTTTCCGAGACTAGCCAAACCAAGGTTAAGATAAATCCTCGAAACTTCTTGCTAAACTTTCATAAAGTAAATATGCAGATAAAGAAGATATATACTGGATTATTTATGAGATTCTTACAACTGATATGTTTCCCTTATTAAGTTTTATGTAGAAAATTCAAAAATGTTTTTGCTGCTTGGAAATCTATTGATGAAAAATGTATGCCGTTGATCGTCCAATCGCCAATATTCGAAGCAGTTGCCACAATATTCTCTAAAAAAAAAAGGTTTTAATGTTTTAATCAATTCCCAAGATATCTATTCATATCTAATACGAACTATGAAATAAATATTCTTGTTTATTAAATTGAGCAAATTGTTGTCTATGAATATATGTCTCGTCTATCTTGACTATGACTGAGTCAGCAAAAGTAT